CACAAAACTATATTTTGGTCATCCCATTAAAAATAGCTTTTAAATTGGAGCGTTAAAGTGCTGGAAATAGATGTGTGGAATACTTGAGTCATTGAAAAGTGTTTGAATTTCTCTCTCAAAAGGTTGTGCAAATCCTGAAATTAATAATGTGATTTCTGCTTCAACACCACGGTTACAGTTAGAGTTTGCAGAATTTTAATTATTCTCAATAGATCTCACAGCGAACTTATTCATTCTGCGATGAGTTCAAACGCTTCTCACTGGATCTCGCAGCGCTGTGCAGTAACAGTAGGGCCTTTCGCACTGCGGGAACCTTTTCATAGTACCAGAACTAATAGTGGAACTACCCACTTTTTGGTGTTTTCACACCGCCGGAACTGGGTGCGATTTTAGTACCGGACTGCCTTTTTCGAGAACTAAATTAGCTCCTACTCCGGAGCAGGGTTTAACCAGCACAACTGGTACTAACCGTGACGTAAATAGACATCGATTGGCCAAACGTGTACGAAAACACCCTCACCCGCCATGATTTAAAACGCTGTGTAAACATACTGTAAACATTGTGTCAACTTATTTTGCAAATATGGAAAACAGCGATAGATGGACGGACGCTGAAGCATGTAGCAAATGTAGCACTGCCAGTCAGTGGCGGCTTGTCGGGGGAGGCAGGGGAGGCACAGCTTCCCCATAATTTTGAGGTGAAAATGGGAGGAGGCCGATTTAATGTTAGTAAAATTCACAATTAATTTCAGTTCATGTCTCAGAATGTGTATTTTTTGTTTGTAATTTCACAGTTGTAATACCATAAACGCGCCGCTTTTCTATCGCGAATGTGCCGAATCTGCTGATGTAATTACAACCGCTAAGTGATAGAGAAGGGGAGGGGGAGGTCGGGGGAGGGGTGAGCTCTCGTGCCTCCGTTGGTAAAAACAATTAGCCAATCACCATCGAGTGTTCACTTTCAGCGCTGAGGAGTGTTGAGAAAAGAAACCTCGTAGAGGAGGCTAGCCTCCCTTCTCATATCAACCAATCATCACAGAGACGTAAATTATGTGATATTAGTTTGAACGTCTGCCGCTGCGCTGATAATGTACCAAGTACTTATGAGTAGCGATATTGAATATTTGATTGCCAACAGATTTACCAAGCTGTCATTCAAACAGTATATATACAAATTTAGGGAAAACAGCCTAAGCTGGATATAGGCTACAGCAGTCGGCTTAATTAAATGGTGCAACAGGCAGCTCTCTTTTAACACAGACTTTTAAGAAGGGAAGGATGTTTGCTTCAAGTGATAGGCCAGGTAAGTGAAGTTATATTATCTTGCTGTATGTATGTCGTTTTCTTTACGTTTTCTGACTAAAAGCAACCAAAATGCCATTTTAAAGTGGTTAAGCAAATAATAATAACAATAATCGGCAGGGATCCCAGACCAATACAATTAGTGTGCCTCCTCTATTTTAAAACCCACGAGCCGCCACTGCTGCCAGTTGTCGTTGGAGATTCTTAGTCCTCCTTTCCGTTCTTTCAATCGCTTTACGTATATGTTGACAGTCCATGTCCATTATTGTGAAATCCGCGAGACACAACAAAAACACAGCTCCGATCACAGCGTCCTCCATTCTCCTGTTGTTAATGTTGTTCTTCTTTGTTTCCGTTGTTGAACGCTGCGCACAAATGATGTCGCTGTCGACCGGCTTATGTTACTTCCTAGTAAACACTGTCGGTGTGAATGCAACCCTTTAAATGGTACTGGAAATAGTTCGCGCAAAATCGTCCCAGTACTTTAGTACTGTACATTTAGTTCTGGAACTAAAGCGGTGTGAAAGGCCCTGTCACAACACCAACATTGGTTCCCAACTAGTAATCCTGTTCTGAGATTGGTAAACCGCTTTGGTTGCACTGAGCTCAATTATTGGTCCGAGCTCATAAATGGCCCATGCTGTGCAGCTCAAACAAGTACCATGGTGTCATTGCGCTTTTGTTTTGTTTGCTGTTTGATGTTTCTCATATGCAACAATGGCAGCGCTTGTGAGTTGGGCAACGTGGTGTTCGCACCCAGTAGCATGTTTACCCTCCACGCAAAGCATACGATTTCTTTACTTGTAGCATTTCATAACGATACCTCTGGCAAATCAGTGGCTGAATCGTTAAATAAATTCGGACTCAGACCGCGATCCGCCATTTGAATATGCCTGACCTAAAGCATAATATCATACAAGTTTAATGCAAGATTAATGTTCCTTTTTACATTATCTGCATTGGTTTAGTCTTGCAATGCACACGACAACTCGTCAACTTCCTTCCCATGCTTTGTTCTTTTTCCCCCTTTTTTTCTCCACCATGACGATGGCAGCCACAACAGGACAGTTACCATTGTGTAGTTTCTGTCACTTTCGTCCAAATTCACACAGGTGAGGTTGACGTAGTTGTCCAGGAAGAGCCGCTTGACATTACAGATCGCAGTCGCAATACCACAGATTTTCATGGAGCATTATGTGAGTGCTGTGCTGTACAGTCTCAGGAAGCTCTTGAACTGAATTGTGGAGAGTTTGTTGTTGGTGAGGTCCAGTAGAGCAAGACGGGTCAATGGCAAAGGCAAACATATCCACTCCATTTCTATCCCCGACAGTAATACCATTTTTGAGAACCGTTAAATTGTTCATGTTGAGTTGTAGCTGGTGTATGTTACTCATGGACCCAAACGTCCTCATCTTGTTGATCTTGATAGCATTATGGCTAAGGTTGAATTTTTGGAGGGCGTCAAAGTGGATGAAACAACTGCTGTCCAAGCTGGTCAATCGGTTCTCAGCCAGTGACGGATCTCGTAGGGAACCGAGACCCTGTGAAAATCCTTCACTCAGGAATGAGATTCGGTTTCTACTCAGGTTCAACCTCAGCAGTCCTTCTAGAAGAGAGTACAATCTGTCGGCTAGTACACCAATCACATTGTTGTTCAGGAGTAGGACACAAATTCTTTGTGTGCTGTGGAAGGTTCAAGTCAGAATTGTGATTCTGAACATGCAATTCTGACTTTTCTCTCACAATTGCGAGTTTTTATCTATTCTGGGAGGTTAAAAAGACATGAGAACTTCCTTCAAAGAGAGTTTACCATAATGCCAGGCGATCACCTGTTTTCCATTGTCATGTTTGATGACTTCCTACACCAGCACATTTGCCAGGGTTTTGAAGTCCGCCACAATCACACTTTTTCACCACCATGCAGTGGCGGCCCGTTGGGTTTTAAAATAGAGGAGGCACACTAATTGTATTGGTCTGGGATCCCTGACGATTATTATTATTATTTGCTTAACCCTTTTAAAATGGCTTTTTGATTGCTTTTAGTCAGAAAACGTAAAGAAAACAACATACATACAGCAAGATAATATAACTTCACTTACCTGGCCTATCACTTGAAGCAAACATCCATCCCTTCTTAAAAGTCTGTGTTAAAAGAGAGCTGCCTGTTGCACCATTTAATTAAGCCGACTGCTGTAGCCTATGTCCAGGTTAGGCTAACAGCCTGTTTTCCCTAAATTTGTATATATACTGTTTGAATGACAGCTTGGTAAATCTGTTGGCAATCAAATATTCAATATCGCTACTCATAAGTACTTGGTACATTATCAGCGCAGCGGGAGACGTTCAAACTAATATCACGTAATTAACGTCTCTGTGGCGGCGCTTTGGTATTACAACTGTAAAATTACAAACAAAAAATACTCATTCTGAGACATGAACTGAATGAATTGTGAATTTGTGAATTTATTAAATCGTCTTCCTCCCATTTTCACCTCAAAATTATGGGGAAGCTATGCCCCCCCTGCTTCCCCCGACGAGCCGCCACTGTTCTATTCTACACCGGACGCGAGCGGCGCAACAAAATACAATAGAATTCTATTGTATTTTGTCGCGCCGTGCAATGTGATGTGACCGATGTGATAAGCATGAGTTCTGGGCCACGGCGTGGCCGGTAAACACCAGCATTGAGTGGCCGCGATCAGCTCCAGTGGCCGTAACACAGGCTTTAATGCGCCGCAGACACGTGCAGTGAAGCGCAGATCAGCTCTAGTCTCTAACGTCACTGAATCTGCTGTTAAAATTAACCATCCATTCATCATATCATCATGCAAACAAAGAATTAGAATCATTGTAATGTGACTATCAAATATAGGTGCGGGTGGGTGGTGGGCGGATCATTTGAAGGAGGACTCGGGTGAAGTTTGAGCTCATCCGCGCATCTCAATACTAAACTGACATGGGTCCAGTAGCAAACAATGGAGCACGCTCTGCTGGACAAACTAAGTAATTACACCATTCAGAAGCATTTAATCTGCGTTATATGTTCTTTAAAAGAAAAATGTTCATATCGGCGGCATATTCGCCGATACCGATATATCGGCGACAGGCTCATATCGGCCGATAATATCGGCTAAACGATATATCGGTCGGGCTCTAGTTCTCAGTAGTCAGTTGAACGGAAGCACAGTATAGTTCGAGTCGCCAACATTTTTTATTACTATTTGTGTGTGTCTATGTATTATGTGCTGACAGTTTGTATTAAAAATCTTCATAAAATTGACACTGAAGACTAGTGTAATGATGCTGAAAATTCAGCTATGATCACGGGAATAAATGTCATTTAAAAAAATATTAAAATATAAAACAGTTTAAATTGTAATAATATTTAACGATATTACTGTTTTTACAGTATTTTTTTATTAAATAAATGCAGACTTAGTGAGTACAAGAGTCTTACTGACCCCAAACCTTTAAACAGTAGTTAAAAAAAAACTGTAATTCACTATGCGGCACATTTTACCCCACATAATATATATCTAAAGCATTCATATCATTTTGGTGAAAGTTTTCCCCGAACTCTGGTTAATGTCTAACCTTACTTTACACCAATTTTACCACAGTGAGTGGGTGTGGTAGGCACAACTTTATTATTTTTATTACAGTGTATACAATCAGTCTTTTTCTTGCTACTTCAGGGAAACATCGTGTCTGGCCAGTTTAAGTTTCATGGAATCATCACTACATTTGAAATGATAATGGCTGACTGTCCAGAGCTGAAGAAGATTAACTGGCGCTGTGTGGTGATCGACGAGGCCCATCGCCTAAAAAACCGCAACTGTAAACTGCTGGAGGGACTCAAACTCATGAACCTGGTAAATTTTTTGCTCATTTGTGGACCATGAAACATACGTAGACGTTTTTGTCATGGGATGTAAGTGTCATGTGTCATTTATAATATCAACTGCTCTACAAATGATTCAAAGACTTTCCAGAAAAGGAGAAGTAAAGCCATCTGTGAGCTAAAATACAGTGCTATCTTATGTACACATCTTCACTGCATTTACATGCACACATCCTCTCTGGACACAGAATGAGTAATCTCATCTCTCTCACTTTACATATTACTGCAGCCATGGCCAGTGTGTGCAAACTGAACTACATTTGACGCAGTGCCGCTTTATCCAACAAAATATCTCGCAGCTAATTAGGTTTTCGCAGATGTATTTTGATATACAGTGGTTTGAAAAGTATTTGGACGATTAAGCCACTTTGCAGTAGTGAATGACATCCAGAATGTGTATAAATAGTGTTTTCACTATATTTAAATTTGTAAATAAATGCTACTTTTGATATTTTGTATCGAATGCATTTATTTTTAATTGAGACTTCAGTGTCCAAATACTTTTTTGGTTCACAGTATACAAATGTATCCTTATGTTGGAGCCCAAATGTGTGAGACTATGTTCAAAGTCCAGCTCAATGTTTCCCAGTGTTGTTTCTCCGTCTTCATCCAGAGAGAGTTGGTATAGATATCTTAAAATGTACATACATACTTAATGTTTCTATGTGTCTTCTCTCTTAAGGAACATAAAGTCCTTCTCACAGGAACCCCTTTGCAGAACTCAGTTGAGGAACTCTTCAGTCTGCTTAACTTTCTCGAACCCTCACAGTTCCCTTCCGAGACCACTTTCCTAGAGGAGTTTGGAGACCTGAAGACAGAAGAGCAGGTGAGATCTAACCCTTGATTGGAAGCTTGTTATCTTTCCTTATGGGCTAGATAAACATCTACACACCTTCACCTCCAATTGTCTGCTCCACCTAGAGGATAGTAGGCAACATCCTTATTAAAATTTTGTGGTCAATGCCTATAAACTCAGAATAGCCAAATAAAGTGCTGATGTATTTTTGTAGGGCAACCTGAAAGTTAGCATGACCCTGGTTCCCTCGACAAAAAGCTAGTAGGATTTTTCTATTGGCTTTTGGCTTTTTGCTGAAAATAAGCTTGGTGACCAACAAAAGTTTAAAACAACAAGCTACACCACAGTCGGATGACTTCGGCTTCACCACCATTATGCTTTCCATAACACTTTTGATCTTTATTTAAAATCTACAAGTTGGAAAGTCTGAGTTAGAATAGTTTTCAAGAGCACAATTTATTAATACAACAAGGCTGTAAAAGCAACTAGTGAGCAGATGAGTTTACCTGTTCAGTGTGACGTTTAATGTCCCTGACTACCTTTTTTTTATTCCCATTTAGCCACTTGTTAGCAACCGAATTTTCAAGACAAAAAAATTAATTAAATAAAATAAAAATTTTCATGTTGGAGTGTTACAGATGTAATTCGTGTTGTAGAATAAAACTTGAAAATATCTTAAACTTGTGTTAATCACAGACTTTATTTTAGGCAATTAACCAAACACCCTTTCAAAAAAACCTTTGATTTTGGAAAGATGGAAGTGGAAAATGCTAATTTATTTCCAGGTTTTAGGACTCAATATTAGGCCATATGGCCTGATTATTATTGACTGATTATGTGCCCAGCTTTAACCTGAGAAACATCAACATATCCTCAGGTAAAGAAACTACAAGCCATTCTGAAGCCCATGATGTTGAGGAGACTGAAGGATGACGTGGAGAAGAATCTGGCCCCTAAAGAGGAGACAATCATTGAGGTGGAGCTCACTAATATTCAGAAGAAGTACTACCGCGCCATTCTGGAGAAAAACTTTGCCTTCCTTGCCAAGGGAGCAAACCAGCACAACATGCCCAACCTCATCAACACAATGATGGAGCTTCGCAAGTGCTGCAATCACCCATACCTCATTACAGGTGACATCTGGTGTTTAGATCAAGTGTCAATATGAAATATATCTTGGTTGCAGTTTTCTACATCTCAGTAGCCACACCTCTAATTTGTAGCGCTGACGTAGTCCCCCATCTTCCTTCTGTCAGGTGCTGAAGAAAAGATCCTTGAGAGCTTCAAGAAAACCTACAGTTCTGATGCTGTAGATTTTCAGCTGCAGGCAATGATCCAGGCCGCTGGTAAACTAGTACTTATTGACAAGTTGCTGCCCAAGCTGCTGGCCGGAGGACATAAAGTGCTGGTGTTTTCCCAGATGGTCCGGTGCCTGGATATACTGGAGGACTACCTCATTCAGAGGAGGTGAGACAGTTGCTTATTATACAGTGCCATGAGTCATACTTCTATAAAAAATGTTCAGCTGTTTTTGAAACTGTAAGTGAATGAGGAAATAGACTCCGAATGTCGATATTAAATCAAAACTTGGTTTACTTCACTTGTTGCTTTTCTTCAGGGATCCCATAGTACTGAAAAAAATTAAGTGGTTTTTATTTTATTTTAACATTTTTTAAATACTTTATAAAAAAATCCATGGAAATTCATTGGTCAAAATGTGCGAGAAACCTGTGTCTTATTACAACATTTAAGAAAAAGGTTTGGGGTCAGTGAGATTTTTTTTTTTATGAATTAATTATTTTTATTCAGCAAGGATGCAATAAATTGATCAAAAGTGACAGTAAAGACATAATGTTACAAAAGATTTCTATTTCCAATAAATGCTGTTCTTATTAACTTTTTATTTATCAAAAAATCCTGAAAAAAAGTATCACTGTTGACACAAAAATATGAAGCAGCACAACTAAAACTCACTGAACTCACTTTGACTCAGGAATAATTTATCATTATTATAATTATATTTTTATATATTATTATTATAATTTATCAAATCATTATTTTAGATTGTAATAATATTTCACAATATATTTATTTATTTTACTGTATTGTTGATAAAATAAATGCGTCCTTGGTGAGCATAATTCTTTTTTCAGAAACATCTACCCAACCCCAAACTTTTGTGTATATTATCAAAATATTTCAAAATGCATGGCTGAAACAGTAAACAAAATATGAGAGCTATGGTGGAGAAAGAGTGGGATTGGTAGTTTTCATGCATAAAGGATATAGATGTGAAAAGGAAATGTCTTCTCTGAAATTTGTATAATACATGTAGGTATACATACGAGCGTATTGATGGGAGAGTTCGAGGGAATCTACGGCAGGCCGCCATCGATCGCTTCAGTAAGGTGGATTCTGACCGCTTCGTGTTCCTCCTCTGTACACGAGCAGGAGGTCTGGGCATCAACCTCACCGCCGCTGATACCTGTATTATATTTGACTCAGACTGGAACCCGCAGAACGACTTGCAGGTAAAGATGTAGATCTTTTATGTACAGTATCAGTGAGACTCTCCTCCATTAGCAATTTCCATTACCAGCTTTTTAGCAGCACAGGCTTTTCGAATAATCATAAATATTAAAGGGGTGGTTGATTTATGATTTCACTTTTGGAACTTTAGTTAGTGTGTAATGTTGCTGTTCGAGCATAAACAACGTCTGCAAAGTTACGATGCTCAATGTTCAATGCAAAGGGAGATATTTTCTTTTAAAGAAATCGCTTTTTAAGGACTACAAAACAATGGCTGGTAGGGACTACAACGAGCTTCTTCCTGGGTTTGTGACATCACTAACCCCGATGTTAACATAAACCCCGCCCCCGGGAACACGCAACTACCCATAATTTTAAGGGGTCGTGACATTTCTGGACAACGTGCACTAGGCGGTAAGCGAATCACAAACGCAGTGAGCCCGCTAACCAATCATAGCCCATTGCATATTTCTGAGGGAGGGGCTACATAGAACCAGGAACTCAACAGACCCTTTTAACGAGAATGGAAACAGCGGTGTAGAATAAAGGTAAAATATGTGAAAATAAGGCATTTTTAAAAAAACGAAGCATGAACACGTTACACTGCACCCCATATACACAGTCAAGCTTTCGAAAAAGGTTATTCACCAACCCTTTAAAGGGTTAGTTCAACCGAAAATGGTCCATTAAATTAGTCCATAAATTACTCACCCTCAAGTCATCCTAGGTGTATATGACTTTTTTTCTTTCAGACGAATCCAGTCGGAGTTATATTAAAAATGGTCTTTGATCTTTCAAGCTGTTTCATTGCACTCAGCGGGTGTTGCATGCATCCGTCCAAAAGAAGTTAAATAAAAAGCGCCCATCCATAAAAAAAGCATCTCACGCGGCTCCTGGGGGTGAACAAAGGCCTTCTGTAGTGAATCGATGCGTTTTTGTACGAAAAATATCCATATTCAAAACGTAATAATCACTTTAATGTAGCTTGCGCTCACTCTTGTAAAAGGAAGCAGCTCCGGGAGGATAACGTATGAGGTCAGTGCTGCGCATGCGCCGGTGAGTCTCGTGAAAGCGAACGTTTGTTAACAAGAGCAAAGGAAGCAAAGTATCTTTACTTTAGCAAAGGAAAACCAGTCTCCTCTTGGCTTATATCGAAATCCTACGAAATTCTTCTTTACAAATCCTCGTTTTGTACTTCTATTTAGTGACCGTTGTTTTGTTTTGATCTCTCCCCTGTGCTTCCGCGTGCGTCACTTCTGAGCGGCGCATGCGCAAAGCCGACCTCCATACGTCATACTGCTTCCGTGTACAACAGTGAGCGCAAGCTACATTAAAGTGATTATTACATTTTGAAGGCCTTTGTTCACCCCCCGGAGCCGTGTGAGACACTTTAAAAAAAAAAAAAAATTTTCCAAATTCACACAGGTGAGGTTGACGTAGTTGTCCAGGAAGAGCCGCTTGACATTACAGATCGCAGTCGCAATACCACAGATTTTCATGGAGCATTATGTGAGTGCTGTGCTGTACAGTCTCAGGAAGCTCTTGAACTGAATTGTGGAGAGTTTGTTGTTGGTGAGGTCCAGTAGAGCAAGACGGGTCAATGGCAAAGGCAAACATATCCACTCCATTTCTATCCCCGACAGTAATACCATTTTTGAGAACCGTTAAATTGTTCATGTTGAGTTGTAGCTGGTGTATGTTACTCATGGACCCAAACGTCCTCATCTTGTTGATCTTGATAGCATTATGGCTAAGGTTGAATTTTTGGAGGGCGTCAAAGTGGATGAAACAACTGCTGTCCAAGCTGGTCAATCGGTTCTCAGCCAGTGACGGATCTCGTAGGGAACCGAGACCCTGTGAAAATCCTTCACTCAGGAATGAGATTCGGTTTCTACTCAGGTTCAACCTCAGCAGTCCTTCTAGAAGAGAGTACAATCTGTCGGCTAGTACACCAATCACATTGTTGTTCAGGAGTAGGACACAAATTCTTTGTGTGCTGTGGAAGGTTCAAGTCAGAATTGTGATTCTGAACATGCAATTCTGACTTTTCTCTCACAATTGCGAGTTTTTATCTATTCTGGAGGTTAAAAAGACATGAGAACTTCCTTCAAAGAGAGTTTACCATAATGCCAGGCGATCACCTGTTTTCCATTGTCATGTTTGATGACTTCCTACACCAGCACATTTGCCAGGGTTTTGAAGTCCGCCACAATCACACTTTTTCACCACCATGCAGTGGCGGCCCGTTGGGTTTTAAAATAGAGGAGGCACACTAATTGTATTGGTCTGGGATCCCTGACGATTATTATTATTATTTGCTTAACCCTTTTAAAATGGCTTTTTGATTGCTTTTAGTCAGAAAACGTAAAGAAAACAACATACATACAGCAAGATAATATAACTTCACTTACCTGGCCTATCACTTGAAGCAAACATCCATCCCTTCTTAAAAGTCTGTGTTAAAAGAGAGCTGCCTGTTGCACCATTTAATTAAGCCGACTGCTGTAGCCTATGTCCAGGTTAGGCTAACAGCCTGTTTTCCCTAAATTTGTATATATACTGTTTGAATGACAGCTTGGTAAATCTGTTGGCAATCAAATATTCAATATCGCTACTCATAAGTACTTGGTACATTATCAGCGCAGCGGGAGACGTTCAAACTAATATCACGTAATTAACGTCTCTGTGATGATTGGTTGATATCAGAAGGGAGGCTAGCCTCCCTTGCAAGGGTTCTTTTCGCAACACTCCTCAGCGCTGAAAGTGAACACTCGATGGTGATTGGCTAATTTTTTTTAACAACGGAGGCACGAGAGCTCAGCGCTCACCCGACCTCCCCCTTCCCTGCTCTATCATTAGCGGTTGCAATTACATCAGCAGATTTGGCACATTCGCGATAGAAAAGCGGCGCTTTCATGTTGTGGTATTACAACTGTAAAATTACAAACAAAAAATACTCATTCTGAGACATGAACTGAATGAATTGTGAATTTTACTAACATTAAATCGTCTTCCTCCCATTTTCACCTCGAAATTATGGGGAAGCTGTGCCTCCCCTGCCTCCCCCGAGGATCCGCCATTGCCACCATGTCCTGTTTCTTCTGGAACAGCGGGATGAGGAGCATCCCCTCCTGCTGACGAGCCTGTGAGATGATGTCTTCTCCAAGACCCAAACCACAGCCATGAGCAGATCAGACATACTGTCATACCTGTATATGGGAGGACAAATGTGCAGGTCATTCTCCATAACCTTCAGATCTGCTTATGTAGATGTAGATGCACACAAAACTGGACTCAAATGCAAAATCACCATATTCAGTTCGGAGATGAAAAATTAGATAAATTCTCAAACCCAAAGAGATATTCTTTATAAAAGTTAAGACTAGTCCACCACGCCTTCCTAAAAAGTCTCATTAAAACACGCCCCCACATATCTACATCATTGTGTTGGAAGATTTGCATAACACCACTCACATTTTTATGTAAAGAAAGAAGGCATAACTTTTATTCTCGCTGTAGTATTGTTGCCGCCACCGCCATGTCGTGGAGAAGCTGTGTGTTTCCAAATATGGTAAGGGGCGTAACATTTCTGTCACACGCTTGAGGTATTCGGCCAATCACAACGCACTGGATAGTTGGCCAATCAGAGCACACAGCACTTTTCAGAACAATGAGCTTTGTAAAAATTTACATGTTTCAGAAAGACGGGCAGAGAGGAGCAACAAAAATGTACAGTATGTGGAAAATAATGTGTTTTTTGAACCTTAAACCGTGTAAACACATTGCATTACACCAAATATACAAAATAATGTTATTTTTAGCATCGTCATATGACCCCTTTAATCGATCTAACGCAGTGCGGAAAAGTCTATTTCATGCACAACTTGAACAAACTACAACAGGTAAAGCTAACAGCTTGGTCTTGGAGCTTCATATCATTTTAAGCGCACTTTCCATTCAATAAATGTGCTCTGTTACATTTTAATAAACAAAATATCAGCTTTAAATAGCTGTGTAGGCATTAACAATATTGTTAACAATTCTTGTTTATAATCGATACTAATATGGCTTCTTGTTGTCAAGATCTTTATGTGTGTTCTGTTAATGCGTGAGCTTCATATCATTTTAAGCGCACTTTCCATTCAATAAATGTGCTCTGTTACATTTTAATAAACAAAATATCAGCTTTAAAATGCTGCCAAATTTATAACGAAATTCAAACAATAAATACCATTTTGGCACTCTTTAATGCGGCATGAGCAATTGTTTTAGCGCCTCAGTTCAAGCAGCACGTGTGAACCCATTGTATTTTTCTCTTTACTATTATAGTTTGAAATGAACATGAATGGTCATCAAAAGGTATAAGATATAGTACAGCTTACTGAAATGTCTCATGTAATCGCTCATTCAGTGTTTCAAACAGCAGAAAACGTGTAAAGCTTAAAACAATGCCAAGTAACAATACATCTACATCAGAATAACCATTTGGCGTCCATAAGCTCATCAGTCAGCCAGAAAAATAACTATAAAGAGAGAAGCATTTTGCTAAATTTATGCGCTATATTGCATATTCATATTTTCAATTAACCTGTTGTCTATATGATAAGAAACAAATACAAGGAGCTAAATATAAAATTCAACATAAATTGCATGTTACTTACTAATGAAGAAAAACAAACTGGATGAGTGCAAGACATATGACATCATTTATAGGATGGATTGAGGAGGGGCCCAAACTACACTCAATGGCCAAGTGATGTTGACATAGTTATGGTCAGTGATACTGGCACTGATCCTGTGTAATAAACAATTCTTTGTGACTCTATATAGTACTCAAGTTGGAAAATACGTTTAGTTCCCACTTTAAGTGAACCTTTGTTCCCAGTACATCTACAAGATGGATTACAATGCTGATAAAGACAAGAAAAGATGAGACATTAAACACATAACAATACGACTGAAATGTTAGTGTTAAAAAATAAAACACGTTTATTCTGTGGCACTTAAAAAAATAATTTGGTGCCTAATTTTGTTTCTTATAGGAGCCAGATTTTTTTTTCTGGAGCTATGTAAGGTGCAAAAAACTGACCTCTTTAACCACAACCTCAAAACACACTGGAGTCAAAGCCATTACAATTACGACTCACGTGTGTTTTCAAATTCAAAAAGACTACATTTGAAAGTAGTTAATCCTTATCCTTGGATATATCTTTCACTCGTTTAAACAGTTATTAAATATTAAAAGTTCAGCTACAGGTAATTGCATCTTACCTCACAGTCGCACTCTTTAACCGTTAATGTAATGCCTTTTTTCATTTGATTGGCCATTACAATCAGATCTATATACGTAGATTCCAGCGACTGTTTCTATGGGCTGCTATACATAAGACGTCCGCCATATTGTAACGGTCAACTTGACGTCATTCACCATAGTAATCACTGAATATTCAAAAGATGCCACAATCCTGCACAGAACGGCTCAACGGCTCTGTGAGAACCTACAGTATGGTGAATGACGTCAAGTTGACCGTTCCAAGATGGCGGCCGCATCTACGTGCCTGGAGCCTTCGAGTGGGGCATCTATTACATATCTATGATTACAATGATGATGACGACCTAGCTCTACAACCTAGCGTTTTTATTAAAGGTTTACGATTGTGTGTATCACTTCCCACTACTCACAAGACAATCTTAGATCATTCTTGTTTGTTTCTCATTATTGTCGTGGTGTAGTAATGCGGCTTTACTCTTCATAATCGAGCTAAGGCGCCAAACGCATCACGCATGCCCAAATTGGCCTGGTTAGAACTGAATGAGGTGACTGGAAAAAATGTCCCAGATAACCTTAGTTAACCCTAGATGAGGTCTTGTTGCCCACTGTAAACAACTGGAAGAAAAACTGAGAGAGATCTCATCAAAGTACATTGGGTGTATTCAGGTAAATTGGGGCATTTTTTTCCAATGAGGTGACTGGAAAAAATGTCCCAGATAATCTGAGTTAACACTAGATGAGGTCTTGTTGTCCACTGTAAACAAGTGGAAGACAAACTGACTGTAAATATGCACTTTATATAAATTCACTTTAAAAAATATTACAAAAATCTTTACTGTGCTTGTGTGGGAAAATATACATTTCAGTTTTTATAACTTCTTTGTTTGCTTTAGAGATTGATTAAAATACAGTGGGGAAAAAAAGTATTTAGTCAGCCACCAATTGTGCAAGTTCTCCCACTTAAAAAGATGAGAGAGGCCTGTAATTTTCATCATAGGTATACCTCAACTATGAGAGACAAAATGAGAAAAAAAAATCCAGAAAATCACATTGTAGGATTTTTAAAGAATTTATTTGCAAATTATGGTGGAAAATAAGTATTGGGTCAATAACAAAATTTAATCTCAATACTTTGTTATATACCCTTTGGTGGCAATGACAGAGGTCAAACGTTTTCTGTAAGTCTTCACAAGGTTGTCACACACTGTTGCTGGTATTTTGGCCCATTTTTAAATATATATTTTTGTATTAAATGGAAGATCATTGTTTTAAGATAATTATTAAACTTAAAATTATAATTATTTATTTGAAATTATAACATTGTCTTGTTTCTGTATTTGGTCAATATACCACTCCACTGTTTCTTTTCTTACACAAACACACAAAAATATATTTTTATCGCCATCTTGTGTTAGTTTAAACTAAATATCGTTGGACTCGATATAGTGTTCCTCACAACTTAACCAAAGATCCAGCCATGGATATGCCAGCCAGGAATCGTGTTTTCTGACATTTATATGTGCCTAATTTCGTCGCCGGGGAAATACATTAGCAAATTTGCCTGTGAACGCATTATTACATATATAAATATATATACAGTCATGTGAAAAAGTTAGGACACCCTCTTGAATTCCATGGTTTTCCATATCAGGACATAATAAAAAAATATCTGGTCCTTGACAGGTCTTACAATTTGGAAAATAAAACCTCAGATGAACAACAACACATGACATATTGAACTGTGCCATTAATTATTTAACAAAAATAAAGACAAAATGGAAACACCATTTGTGACAATGTTAGGACACCCTTACTATTAACATAGGAATTAAGAGGGAAAGTAGCAGTCAGGCGCTGCTAATCAAAAGCCTTTGATTAACTGATCATCAGCAAGTGTGTGCACCTCTATAAAATCAGAAGTTTTGGCAGTTTGCTGGTCTGGAGCCTTCAGGTGTGTGTTAACACAATGTCAAGGAGTTAAGACATCAGCAATGATCTTAAAGAAGCAATTGTTGCTGCCATCAGTCTGGGAAGAGTGACACGGCCATTTCAAACCATTTGAAGTCCATCATTCTACAGTGAGGAAGTTTATTCACTAGTGGAAGACATTCAAAACAGACACCAATCCTCCCAGGAGTGGACATCCCAGCAAATTCACCCCAAGATCAGACTGTGTAACGCTCAGAGAAATGGCAGACAACCCATGAACTACACCGCAGACTCTACAGGCCTCAGTTAACGTGAAATGATAAAGTTTGTGACAATTAGAAAAATATGGGACAAGTATGGCAATGGTTTGGAAGGCTTGCCAGAAAAAAGCCTCTTCTAAAAAAGCATGGCAGCACAGTTTAGGTTTGCAAAGTTTTGTCTAAACAAACCATAAGACTTCTAGAACAATGTCCTTTGAACAGATGAGACCAAGGTGGAGATGTTTGGCCATCAACACAAACACCTCATACCAAAAGTCACACATGTTGGTGGAGAGGTGATGATTTTGGGCTTGGTTTGTAACCACAGAACCTGGGCACCTCAGTCATTGAGCCGACCATGAACCCCTCTGTGTCCCAAAGTATTCTAGAGTCAAGAACGGCTGAAAATAAAAGAATCAAGGGGTTACAATAGTCCAGTCATCCTGACTGAAATGCTGTGGTGAGAGCTGTGCATGAACAAATGCCCTCAAACCTCAATAAACTGGAGCAACGTTATAAAGAAGGGGACGAAGAGTGGGACGAAACTCCTCCAGAACGATGTGAGAGACTGATTAAGTCATACAGAAAATGATTAATTCAAGTTACTGCTGCTAAAAGTGGATCTACAGACAATTGAATCATAGGGTGTCCTAACTTTGTCACACATGGTTTTTCCATTTTGGCTTAATTTTTGTTAATTAAATAATAACACAGTGTGATATGTAATGTGATTTTGTTCATCTGAGTTGTTTCCCCCCAAATTTTAAGACCTGCCAAGGACCATATTATTTTTATTATGTCCTGATACAGAAAACCATGGAATTCAATAGGGTTTCCTAACTTTTCAACACACACATATATATATATATATATATGTCCTAACTTTGTCACACATGGTTTTTCCATTTTGGCTTAATTTTTGTTAATTAAATAATAACACAGTGTGATATGTAATGTGATTTTGTTCATCTGAGTTTTTTCCCCCCAAATTTTAAGACCTGCCAAGGACCATATTATTTTTATTATATCCTGATACAGAAAACCATGGAATTCAATAGGGTTTCCTAACTTTTCAACACACACACACACACACACACACACACACACACACATATATATATATATATATATATATATATATATACACAGAAAGACTCTCTCCTATGTGCTCGA